ATTTGTTGGATTATTTTCATGCAGTCTATCTCTACCCATCAACCACCAGTGTTAAGCTTCTGCTATTGCTCTTCAGGAAGGCAAGCTTTGGGTATGCCCACAGTAATCCTGAGATGATAGTGGTATCACATATCCCATTCTTTACCCAGTTGTAAAACTCCCCTAATTGCTAACACACTGCTCTGTTTTCAATAATGCCTTGGGGCATGAATGAATTCCTTTCAAAACTAAAGCAATCAAATTGTAGCTTCTTCAAAGGAACAGCTTCTGAGGTAGATGTTTGAGGCTACTATTTCCTCTAGAATCTTTGTTTGTTTCCCCTGTTGTCTTTGGGTTTCCTTAGAGACTCTTCTTATGCAGTCTGAGCTTTGCAGTTACTTACATTGTAATTCCGTTATACAGGAGCATTGTTGATGAGGCAGTAACGTGTGGGTTGTGGGGTAATCATTCTTTAATCTTGCTATTAGGTCTCAGTGGTTTAGTGGTCTATGACCTTTGGCCATAACCTCCAGTGCTTTTCAGCTCACCCCCTCCTTGGGTGAGACAAGAAGTACAGAGGGGGCTGGAAATGGGTATTTCCCTCTCCCCATCCATTCTGGTTAGGCTCTGGTGGAGCCCATGTTGGTTACATATTGGTAAAACAGATTTCCTTGAGGGGAGAGGAGACCTTTGTTAAGGAGAACAGAAAGCTCTAAGCATATTTCAAAATGGCTCCTTCCCTGCTCACCACCACCCAACCAACCTCGCCCCTTCAGAGCATGAGTTGACTTTTCTCCAATCTTCACCTTGAGAACCTGGTGGGGCACCTGGTAGTAAAACTTATGAAAGCATGGGGACCTTCTTAAGGCTGGGCCTTCAAGAGTTTTCATCTCTCAAGCTAGTCTTTGCTCAGTCTCCAGCAATTAGTCAATTACCCTTTAAGTATTCCTACCAGTTGCTGGCTGCAGCAGTGGTTTCTAGTCCTGGTAAACTCTCATTCTTTGTATTCATCTGTCTCCAGTTTTCAGAGATGCAGTTTGCCTTGTGTCCTTAATTCTCTGAGGGATCTAAAAAGAATTGTTGATTTTCAGTTTTTTTTTGTTTTTTTTTTTTTCTTGTGAGGACAGGAATGATGACTTCCAAGCTCTTTACCTACTGAACTGGGAACCAACACTCTCTCCTTCCCTTTTCATTTTCTCAATAGTGTTTTTTTGATGAGCATTAATTTTAATGAAGTCTAATTTCTGGAATCCAAGTAACCCCGATTTACTATTCAAAAATTTTAAAGTGTGAACTTGAACTGAATAATTCAGTAATAACACCCATGGAAAGATATGAGGGAGCATATTTATTATGTGGTACACTAATTTTTTTCTACACACAGCTGAGAGAAGTGAGAAGCTTGTGTTTCAGAATCTGAAAGACCTGGGTTTAAAGCTCTGCTTCACACTTATCAGTTGTTTAACCTTGAATCATTCAATTTCTCTAGCATTTCTCATTCCTTATCTGTAAAAATAATGCCAATAACATCCAAGTTGCGGGGTTCTAAGCTACAGAAAAATGCATTAAAATCTGTGAGTGATATTTTTTCTTTCCTTGGTCTTATAAAACTATCAGTTCTAAAACTTCCAACTTTACTCTAAAATCTTCATGTAGAAATTTGGTAATTCCACCATTTAATTTTTGGCCTGAATATATTAATTAAAATATTCATAGAAAAAGTAACTGAAACGTGTGAGATACCACATTAGACTTGTACTTATTATCAGTTCTCATCAAGTGATTTTTCTTATGGAATACTTTGCTAAAGTATCAAATTAAAGGCAATTTAAGTGGCAATTCTACAAACACTAATTTAATAAAGGTGATGAGAACAATATGGTCTCTAATTCACATATAGTATTAATGAAAAGTATGTTGCTTTTGTGAACACAGATCCATATTTTAAGAACTAAAGGTAAATCATATATTTAATGATTACCATATAACCTACTGATTTTCCTTGGATATCAACTGGTTTTGGATCTTAAATTATGGCAACCTGTGGTGTATTTATAAATGTATTCATGGTAGCATGTATTGCTATGAGTAGTTAGAATCATAAAAAATTCCTATGTTCCATGAAAATGTAAATTTAGTAGCTTTAACAACTTTAAAGAGCTTTGATTTAGTTTAATTATTGAAAACGAAATTTTAAAGGAACAGTTTTCCAATCAATCTTAAATGCTCACATCTTTTTTTCTAACCTAATTTATATGATAGACTTGAAATATGAGTTCTATTTCTCAACGTTAAACTAGCTCCAAGTATATTTACCAATAAAATAATATACTAACTCCTTAGCATACAGAATATGTAAGATCCTTCACAATCTGAAATCAATTTCTCTCCTAAGCATCAATTCCCTAAATTCTTATTCTCTTGTTTTTGTACTCAATGAAGACAACTGAAGGAAAAAACAAACCAAATAGCCCATCATTTCTTCAGTTTTCCATGTCCTTCCACACTATTAGGTCTCTGCAATTGCTTGGTACCTCTACCCTGAATTCCCCAACTGAATCCTCTATACACACATTCCTCTTCCGTAATTCCTTTTCACTGAGGAAATTTCTATTCATCCTTTAAAGACCATCCTCAAATATTAAGAAGCCATTAAAATTTTCTAGAGAGATGATATCCTTCATGTTTCTAAAGCAATTTGCTAAAAACTCTTTAAAAATTCTTATTTAATAAAAATAAAGGAATACGTATACAATATAGAATTTTGAAAATACAGAAAAATTTTATTATCATGTTATTTTAACCAACATCATCTGAAAAAAATTTATTTCTGATTTTGACATTTATATAAAGCACAAAATAAGGTAAAATATTTTAAAAGTTGCCTTTAGTAAAAACATAAATGTAGTAAAATCAAAGATGAACATTTAACATTATGAAATTCGACAATGATAATTATCTCCTCTAAATCATTTAATAACCAATTTTCTTACTGTGTTTTATAATGTTTTCTAAGTCCACACATAGGCAGGGATCATGTCTGGAATTGTTGTGTATTCTCCTTTGAACGCACCATAGTTAGAATTACATAGGAAGCATTTAGAAGATGTGATATGAAACACTAAATAATCTTGTTTTCTTTTGAGCTATAGAGGTATATTTTACATATACAATGAAATACACCAATTATAGGTGAACAAGTCAATAAATTTTGACAAATGTATTCAGTTGTATAACTACCACCCACCAAAGTAATCATGTAACATTCCTATCAGCTCTAAATATTTCTTTGGTGTCCCTTTGCAGTCCACTGCCTCCTCTCATTTTCTGTCCCCAGTCTGCTCTATCTAAAATATGTTTTCTAGAATTTCATGTAAATGGAAACAAAACGTATGTATAGTTCTTTTGTATCTGCTTCTTATAATAAGCATAATGTTTTGAGAGTAGGGTCATCCATATGGTTTACTTATCGATGGTTCATTTCTTTCTACTGCTGAACAGTATTTCTTTGTGTAGATATACTATAATTTGCTTACTCTTTTATCAACCAATGGACATTTGGAATTGTTTTGTGCTGTTATGAATAACACAGTTATGTACATCAGTGTACAAATCTTTATATGACCTTATGTTTTCATTTCTCTTGGTTAAATATCTAGTAATAGAAATTGCTGGATTATATGGTAAATCTATGTTTAACTAAAGAAACGGCCAACTTTTCTAAAGTTGATGTTCTAGTTTGCATTCCCGCCATCTGTGTTTGAGATTTCTAGGTGCTATGCTTCCTTGCTGTCACTTGGCATTGTCATTTCTTTTATTTGGAACTATTCTAGTGGTTGTAGAGTAACGCTTCACTGTGGTTTTAGTTTGCATCTCACTAACGACTGAGCATCTTTTCATGTGCTTATTGGCCATTTGTATACTTCTTTGGTGAAAGTGTCTATTCAAATATTTTGCCTATTGTTTTTAATCAGGTTGTCTTCATATTACTGAGCTAGACGACTTCTTTGTATATTCTTGATAAGTTCTTTATCGAATATGTATTTTACAAAAAACTTTCCTGCCTTTTCGTCTTCTCAGAGTGTCTTATGAAAAGCAAAAGTATTTAATTTTGATAAAGAATTTTGGTTCATGTTTTTGTGACCTATAGGAATTTTATCTTTATATTTTTTAAAAAGTTGTGGCAATTTTCTAAAATAATTGCTCTGTCAGTTATCACATTTCTATTAAAGTGTTATTAAAGTGACTAATTACAAAAACCTATTAAATGAAAAATCACAGATACTGAAAAAGCAGGACCAAACCTTTTAAGAGCTATAAACAGCAACAGATTAATATATTTATTTTGTATTTGTTTCTTCTAAAGAAAATTCTTGTTTATTTTTAAAAACCTGAGTTACTTATGAGATATATACACAAGGGATATGATTGTGATTTTTACAATTTTAATATTATCCCCTTAAAGGGAAGTAGCAGATGCCACTTTTCCTTTTTCCTCATTCTGGGATGGTGGGTGAGTCATTCTAGACAATGAACACAAGGACAATATGCAAAGGACAGCAGAGCAGTAAGACAAATAAAACAAAAAAAAGAAAAACATGAGTTTTATACCCCAGGGAGCCACCATACTTTTCTAGCACCAATTTAAGCCACTGTAATAGTGGATCTTTGTTGTAGCAAACCATGCCCATGTTCCAGCTAATAAACTAGTACTTCACTGAAAGCATTTAAATGAAAATACTATATTTAAAGCTATCAGAATGGTGCAAGACAATAAACACTGACATTAGCTACACAAATTTAGAGATTCTCTAAGAGAAAAATTCAAAAAGTAATATTTTCTACAAGCTAAGCAATTTTTGAAATAATCCAATTATTTTGTTATCTTCTGGTAGATTCCATGTAAGTGGGATAAAGTTGCATGACAACATTAATATACTTCAAGAGCTACTTTCTTTAATATGAATTTTTATATTAGGTAATATAATGGTAAAGGCAAAAGTATTGATGGAAGTTCTTACCATGGAAAGGTATTCATTCGTACCCTGTTCTTATAAATCAGAATTCCTCCTGACATCACTCCAATCATAATTTCATTGTTACTTTGATCCTTCAAAGAAAGAAAATGAAAATCTAAAATACTGGGCTTTACTTGTTAAAGATATATTTTCAAAACAGGATTAGTTTTTTTTTTTTTTACACAATGAGACATTTTCAAAGGCAGCACATATTTACAGACCCACATATTTACAGACTCACAGGTAATTGTTACCTCATAAAAATAAATGACATACTTCAAGTCAAACTTAAATGTAGCATTATTAAAATTTATTAATCTGAAGTAAAAATGATCTCAAGATTTCCCATAGTTTATATAACTGGGACTGACTTTTTGGGATAGGAAATTAAGCCCTTCTCATCTTTTAGAATGACAGGTTAGTATCCATCCTCCCATTCCTAAAATTATTAATCACTGCGTAAATATAATGCTAAGTTTACAAAAGTGAAAAAACATGGGGGAGTTAAGAGTTTGTAATAAACTATAAAACAATACTTCTAATAAAATGGAAAGTCCTATAACTAATATAATACAATAAAAACAATTGGGAGTATAGAGTGAAGAACAATTGCTGAAGAGTTGGATAACTCCAGAGAAGAAAATTTAAATTGTGCTCTAATGATTAAGTAAGTTTTCGTATTAACTGATCCAACCTGAATAGCTAATCTGCATTATTGAGAAAAGGAGTAGAATTAAAATACTTTTTTCAATGCTAATCAACCTTAAAATAGTTTTTCTTCTTGTCTTCAAACACTCTACATGCAAATTAGCATAGCAATAATGAGTTTACCCCCTATTATTCACTTGCTTTGAAGTTAGAATTGATGAAAATAAAATCAAGATTTTATCATTGTTTCCCCAAGGGAGAAAAAAAACCCTTTAAAATGCAGTTTCAATAATTTCTAATTAATAAATCTGATTAAATTGACCTGTAGGATAATATATAACATGGTCAATACAACAGTGTATGCTAATTTGTCTGGCTGCTCTTTTTGTTTAGCAATAACCAGCACCACTGAACATTATTATCAGTCTTAAATCATTTTTAAGGGCATCAATTAGAAGTCTGGACCAAGATGGCAGACTGAGCTTAAAAGATGGCAGACTTAATATATGCTCCTATTACTCCTTCTGCTTTCAATCAGAGAAGCTATATTAAAAAAAAAAACATTAAAAACAATCCATTACATTTGAAGGAATGCAATCAATGCACAAGACATTTTGAGGAATCTGTAAAGACATAAAAAGGATAAAATCAGATTTATGGAGAGAAAAAAATTACGGAAAACTACATCTCAAACTACACACACAAGAGAAAGTTCTAAGTAGAAGTGGTAGAAAGAGAAGCAAAGTCAACAGATAAAAGTTCCGAGATAATGGATAAAAGTACAGGAAGCCCTCAAATCACTGTCAGGATCATCAGGTAGGGAGCAGCTAAGGTAATTAACACCTACCAACCCTACAATCTGGCCTCATCTGGTTTGAGCTATAGGATATAGAAGTGTGTGCAGCCTAATAGAGCAAGTGTAGATTATGGACAGGAATTAAGAGTGATCCCCAGAAGGGATGGAGAATCCTAAACTGAAAAAGTAAACTATAGTCAAATGTTCTGCCTGGCAATATGTTCCTTCCTTCCTCCACCATCATCAATATATATGTTTCTTCCTTCCTCCACTATCATCTAAGGTAGACTATTGTAAAGACAAACAACATCCATAACCAAGAGAACCAAGAGTCACAAATACAAAGGGAAGTATACAACCAAGCATCACCAAACACCTGAGTAGAATCAATACCATTAAAGAGATATACAAAAATAGATATATAATTCAAGCTGCTAGGTCGGGAGAAAAACATGTTTAAAAAAATGTATTGAGGGATATTTAGGAGCTCAAATTCTTAAACTATAGCTACCTAGACTGAAGTGGCAGTTCTCAAGGCATTGCCAGAGGGAGGCAAGCTAAAACAAGAAAACAACTATTTGTCCTTCATAGACACAAATGTTATTAATTCCAATGTAGAGAAAATGCATGTTGACCACCTTATTTTAAAATATCTTACTTTGTTTTTCTTCTTATCAATTATTATCGAATACTGTGCTACAAATTGACTTGTTGAATCTATTTTTTTCCTCTTCTTCACTAAAACCTACATAGCAAAGTGTAGGCCCTTTGTTTTGGCCACTATTGGGTTCTCAGGTGCAGAAAAGTACCCTGTACTCATTTGTGGAATGAACGAATCTTTATCATCTGTAGGAAAATGTCTTCGCTGTTTAGTTTGGCATTGAAGGCCTTTAAACAACCATTCCATCCCATTTTATCTCTGCATTCTAACGAAAATGTTCTGTTTCTGTAGAGCCAGTTACATGATTTGTTTTGCATACTCATAATTACATATTTTCTTAATGCTGGTCTCTTCTCTTCTTGATGTCTCTCTGATGGATCAAATAAAACAGAACCAAAGTAACCAAAGTCTAGATCAAGTCCATCTTCTCTGTGAAAATTTCATTAGCCCACAACCACAAGTTTCTTTCACAGATATTTATCTATCTCTTAAAACACATATCTGAAATACCTAAATACTGCCAGCTATATGATAATGGCTGGGATTGGGTATACGATCTATGGTAAACTATCTATAGTAAAGGACAAGTTATGTTTGTTTTGTTTAAATTTCCAATCCATCAGATATTAATATTTCTGCAAAATACACTGATCACATGCTTGATGTAAGATTGCTATAAAAGTTTCTAAATGCTAACTCTCAATTTTTTTTTACTTATCTCACCATGGACCAGTAACAAACAGTTCATGAATCAGTACTAGTCTGTGGTCATACTTTGAAAATCAATGGACCATTATATTATTTTACATTCTTCCACAGAACCTAGTTCTCAAATAATTATTTCTTAATTGATTTCTGACGGTAATATGCTTACACTTAGCCACACTACTAGATAATATGTTTCATATAATCTTTGATTATAAAGACTTGTGATGAGCTTTAAACATACAGTTACCTATGGCACTAAGATTAAATGAGGACTAAAAGGGAGAGGTTATGGTATGCAGTAGCCGTATGATTTGACAATGTATGTTTAGAGCAATCATTAAAAAAAAAAAAAACAGAGGAAAAAAGATAATATTTACCAAAAAATTTTAACTGTTCTAGTAATAACTGATGTGGTAATACTACAAGTACTGTTTTAAGAGTGATGTGAGATTAAAAACAAATTAAATTATGGATTATTCTAATTCTAGAATACTTGAGTCCTCTAATAATCAAAATATTCTGTGTATCTCAATATAGATATGTAGAAACAAATATAGATTTCAACTCTGTACACTTAAAAGGCCTAATAACAATGACTAAACCAGTAGGAATGAGCATTCTTAACACCCAGATTGAGAATTTGAAATACCATCTTTCATTAAAAGAAACCAGGGCTTCTTAAAGAAATAGCTGATTCCAGGTCTGTGGCAGAAAAAAGATAAGGTGAACCTGAAACATCTTAAAATACTTATAAGTATGGAAACTATCAAAGACTACAAAAGTTATGTCAAAAAGACTGAAAGACCAAAAGTAGAAACTCCTAGTGGCCAAAGATGAGACAGTCTGAGCTTCAATAAGGAAAAGAATATAAATATATGAAACCTATCAAATAAAAATGTTTAATCCATGAATTCGTAATATTACTTAAAACTTTGTATATCTCCTTAGGACAGCAGGGAACCAATTTATTACCTTGAAAACTGAGTAAATGAAAGGAAAGAACTGAATACTTTCCCTGCCTTTCCCATATGAACTGTACTACTAGCTAATCAAATAATAAAAGGGAAGCAATTCCCTATAAAATTATTCCAGCAAATAAATAAAAACAAAAAAGAACTAGAGTATTTCTGTTTTGCAGCCTCCAGTGAATTAATGGATCCAGGCACTGAGGATCAATGGCTGCTAACATTGAAAAATGTGCAAACCAAACATTATGTACCTCCTGATAAAAAAGAAAACACAACAAAGGCATCCATCCCAAATCTGATCATGAATCCAATCAAGTTTGCCATGATCTTGCAGGAAATACACAAAAAGCAGAACATGATGAACTGCACTGTGAATAAGTGAACAGCAAGATCCAGACTGCAAGAATCTACTGGTGACATGGCCCAGTTCTTTTAACAAGAAAATTCTAAGGAAGAGTAAAGGAAGGTGGAAAGAGGGATTAAAAGGGATGGAAAGTTATCTAGTTAAAACAAAAAAGCAAAACCAAACTATTGTATCTAGGAAGGCATACTTATGTGATAAAACCATTAAATAAATACAACGTAGGAAGGGGCTGATATTAGGACAGGGTATAAAGAGGGTTTCTGGAACAGCTGGCTAAATTCTACTGCTTCACCTGGGTGGTTGCAGATATTTACTAAGATATTCTTGTATCTGTTTTATTTTACAATAGGTTAAAAAACAGCAATGTAAAATGGATGAGATTTAGGATGAACAGGAATAGATGTTCTAATATTTTCAACCCACACCTCAACTGTTCATTTTACATTCCCCTGTAATGCCCATCCTTCCTTTCCTTTGGAGATTACTGCTCTAAGACAATTTAAATATTCTAGCTTCTCTATTGTCACATGTCAAGGATACAATAACAAGAACACACTAAAATTTTATGGTGTTGTGAATGAGAGCATATTAATTTTAAGTTGAATGGGGTAGCTATTGAAGTAGTTTTCTTAATTATTTGTACTTATAAAAATTTTCAAAACAATATTGAAATATCAGGTAAGAAGTCAAAGAGTACCCCTTACCTTCTCTGCCTCACTCCCCAGAGACAGCCACTATTAACACTTTGGTTTATACTCTTTTATATCTTTATGTTTATACAAAATATAAATACATGTTATATATAACTATGCAATTTTTTAATCAGCGCAAAGTGAGATACATCATTCTATAATTTTTCTTTTGCACTTAGCATTTTGTAGATATCTTTTCATACCAATATGTATATAGATGTCAACATGTGATGGGGTAAATTGAAAATATTGTTA